TTTTTAAACAGAAGTGTATAGTTTTTACAAGAGTGTTTAATTATGCAAAGCATCTGTAGTGTTTTGCTAATTGGGTGTGTGGTTGTGCTAATTGTGTGTAGTGTTTTGAAAACACAGGCCCTGTTTTGAAAATCGTGCTTAAGCAATCCAAAAAAACTGTAACAGGGGAAAATGGGGCTTGCTGTAAAATTGCAGTTATCCTTTCTACCAGAAGGTGCAACAAAAAAGTGGAATAGGCCTAGAAATTTTGTCATTTTTTGGACAAAAGACCTTTGAGCCTATGGGCCTATGTAAAATACAATAAATAAAAATAAATAAAAAGATTGAGATTCACTACTTTGTTGTCAAATGTACTTCAGTGCACGCTGACAGGGAGATTAGTCTTTTTTTCTGACTGAGTTCAGACAAACGAAACACAAAGTATGATCAGTCTCTCCACATAATGCAGCCACTCCTTTCTAGCAAACCAAGTCAGTGCCACAGAACATGAGAACGTGTCGTTACCACATCGCTGTGCAGGAAATTTAAAGATGGTTGTTGGCTGGAACAGTGGAGCAACCAGGGGGTGGCCAGGGGTGGCCACTGCCACCCTTAGCAATGCCCTGGCCACTCTACTCCTCAGTGTAAATTGTAGTGGCATCAGTTTAGCACTTTATCCCATTATGTACAGCCAGCGACATAACAGTAAAAATCCCACAATAAACCAAGATATAGGTGTTTACTTACGTCTTTATGATTTCTACAGATAGGTTTACCACAGTAGATTCAAACCCTGAAATTATGGCTTTAGTTTCAGTGTGCCACCCCAAGATATTTAGTGGTCAAAACCGAACCCCCACTATGACACATTTCTGAAGGCACCGCTGGGCTGGAAGGGCCTGCCTAATCCAATCATGCTAGGTTGGATTGCGGGTGCTGGGGCTGGGCCTGCCGATGCAACAGCCATCAGAGGCGGGAAGACAGTCTACTCCAGCTGTTCTCCGTTGTCGTGGTTGCAGTACTAGTGTTCTTCTTCACTGGTGATGGTTTTCCAAAAAAATCCTAAATGTGTTTCTTTGCCATATTTCCTCCTCATTTCTGTCATTAGACTACGTAAATTTACTAGTCTGCTGCCACAGCGGGATACCTCCTCACACAGCGACATCTAGCTTACCTGACGTTGCCATGAAAATGTAACTTCCATGAACTTGTGTTGATTAGGCCTCAAAATTATTAAATGGAAATCCAAATACATGTAATGGAAAATAAAAAAAAATCGGAATAGTTTCCCTAAAAATTTCATAAGGATAAATGTGCACAGTATTTTTAATAATTGTTTTAAAAATCTCCCCCACCCCTGATTTCCGCGGCCATTACAAAGTACAAAATATTTACTCTATATGATAATGAGCTTCACTCAGATGCTGGCTGTGACTGGCTTCCCAGTTATAAATCTGGACTTTTTATGGTAGATATTAAGGCATTCAGTTATACCTCAGTAATTGTTCTTTTTAACCTCACACAGATACAGAGCTAGCATTAGAAAACATGTTTTTTTGGGCAGTCATTTTACGGTGAGGTGTCACATGTGAGAAAAGGTCACCATGAAAATTTAACTTTATTTCATAGATGCAGTTTTTTTGGATTGCTTAAGCATGATTTTCAAAACAGGGCCCGTGTTTTCAAAACACTACACACAATTAGCACAACCACACACCCACTTAGCAAAACACTACAGATCCTTTGCATAATTAAACACTCTTGTAAAAACTATACACTTCTGTTTAAAAACCACACTTTGTTACCATATGAAACACACGTTTCACATTACTATACTCTGTTTGCACGAGTTACACTCTGCTGTGATAAACCTAAAACACTTTTAGCACTTCTACTTCCCTATGATTAGAGTTGGTTACCATCAACAAAGTACAAATATAATGTAAATTCACCAAATACTACACAAGACCAATGTTGCAGACTGAAGAAACTCATTTATTTCTCAGCACACCCAAAATGTTGACATGGAGATTCATAATACTGTAACAAATGTCACTTTACGTATTGTACTGTAAGTTTACTGTAAAAAACAAAACAAAAACTAGACATTGTCTCTTCGCCTAGCTGGATCTGGGCAGAGAATTTCATCAACATCACAGGCAATGTTGTCATTAGCAAGAAAACTTTGGAAAAAACGTCTTGAATGATGAATCCATCCTTGCATTGCTGCTACCTCCATCTGGTCACAGGCCTCCTCCATGGCTTGGATGAGGGGTACCTCAGCCTGTTTGCACACCTGATGACTGTGTTGAATCAATTGGTTGGAAGGTGCGGTAATTTGACAGTCAGTGCTTTGGTATTGCAAGGAAGTGACTTCATAATAGATTTTTGTGTGTAATGTATGTTAAGTGTGTTTAGTGTTTTGCAACAAGTGTGAGGTTGACAATGTGCTTATAGTTGTGCAAATATGGGCTGATGTTTTGCTTCTTGAGTGTAAGGTTTTGCTAATAGTGTACTGCTTTTAACTTTAGTGTGTAAGCAATCCAAAAAAACTGTAAAAGAGAGGCGAAAGTACCAGGATAATGAGAAGTTAAAAAGACAGAGCATGGCAGCTGCAGTGCCTGCAGTGATGCTGAGGGAAGTCAGGCAGGTGACCCTAGGAGTATGGTGAAAGATTTATGTCAACTACCATACTTTTGCACGGTACTGTAAAACATTCAAACCAGCTTAAATTCAGGGTATGACAGCAATCCCATTTACAATGTTGGTTACAAATCACTACGCTGGGTTTTCAGCACAGTGAGGGAACTGCAACTTTAGAACTATATAAACAGATCCTCTGAAATACATGTTAGTTTGTCTCCATAAGCCAGCTTTCTCATAAGGTGAGAAAGCTGGCTTATGAATTTGTGTTAACAAACTGCCTGCCACTGGTTTGGGCTGCAAGCAGAGCTATTGGGAAGCAGCGGTCCAGGTGCAGTGTATGATATGCAAAGGATGGGCATATAAAGAATGCACCCCTAGTATGCAAAAGCTATGCAAAAATTTCAGCTTAGATGTGGATAATAATAACTAGTGAGATTTTATTTTGTGTTTGATCATGCATGTTGCATATTAATGTTGTCAAAGGCATTTATTTTTTATTTTTGCTATAAATACAGGAAGGATGGGCGGATGATTATTTGCAGTGATGCTAAAATGAGTCTGTTTCTTAATATACTCATGACTAGGATTTCCATATAAAATTTTTCTTCAGGTTATTTATAAAAAGGCCAAATATAACCAATTCCAATTTTATTATAAATCTTAACTCTAAAATGATGTGAGGGCATTGAAAGGAAATATGTAAAAACACCCACTGAATGTAAAAGCCTCCTTTAAGTTATCACTTCCTGTTATTTATAGATAAAAACCCGCCGACCATCAGATGGGTAAGTATCAGGACTGTTGACTTATCCAGCCTGATGTCAGCTGCTTTACAGAAATGCCACACATCTTCATTTTCATAAGCTTTCGGCTAAAAATGGTCGGCAGGTTATTCCCTATAAATAAAAGAGGACCAGAAGACCTCACCTACAGTATTCAGCCACGCCAACAATTCCCTTTAGTGACACTCCTTTCAGAGACATAGACAGCAGTGGTGTCAAATGTACAGATATTTGTTACTTAAGTAGAAGTATCAACATGACCTCTTTACACAAGTAACAGTGAAAAAGTATGAGCTCCAAAAACTACTTAAAGTATAAAGTAACCTTTAACAAAAACAGCCAGATGCCACTATATGAATTTTAAAGCTCAATTTTTCAACTATTTTGAAAAATTCTTTGAGATAGGGCCAAGGATGAGGGAGGTCTTGTTGGTCTCCATCTCCCGTTACACTATCGCCTGTGTTCGACCTTTCAGACATTTCAACATCTTTTTCTGAATCCAACATTGTAGCATGGCATAGACAATTCACGTTTGCTGCTTGAAGAACACCTGCTTGCTTCTGAAGATTTCCTTTAGCTAACCAATGAGTGTTTGCGTTCAATGACTCATCCAATTACACTAGTTTTCACTAGATATGGGTGGAGCCAATGATCTACATTGGATGGGGCACATGATGTGAAATAAATATTTAGAAACATTAAACCGAAGCCAAGAGTAATGAGTAACGTTTGTTTTAAAAATGTAAGGAACAGAAAGTACAGATACTTGTGTGAAAATGTAATGAGTAGAAGTCAGAAGTAGGAAGAAAAAAAGCAATGGAGTAAAGTGTAGATGCCTAAAAATTGTACTTAAGTACAGTAACAAAGTATTGGTACTTGGTTACTTGACACCTCTGATAGACAGGTACAGTATGGGGCATTGCAGGCTAACAAGAGAAGCCAAACGACCACCATTCCAATGGGGTGGATCTGTTTGTCCAGTTCAATTTGCATGTTTTTGCAATTTGATGCAGCCTTTGTTGGGCTACTAAGAGCCTCGAACTCAATGCTATTCCTGACATTTTGATGATAATAAATAGCATACTTATGCTTAATATGTTATATTTCTGTCAGTAAAGCTCTGTACTTATTATACACTGGAGCGTTAATTAATCAGAAGCTAAAATCTGATACCCAACCACTGTCACTGGCCATTTCTTCTGGATAACAACCCTAAAATACGCCCAGTGTCACCCCCTGATGAAATAGTGAATAGGGAATAATGAACCAATTACAGTTGCTGTCATGTTGTTTTCTTAACAATATTGAAAGTTTCATTGAGACATTGGCTTTCTGATGAATGGTTGCATCTACAATAAAAATTCTAAAGTCCTTAAAGTCAAAATTAAGCCTTTGAACATAAAAAAACAGAATTTTTGCATTTTGTGTATTTCAAGTTCTCATTGTGCAAAACTAACTTGTCTGTCATTTTTAGCAGATACCTGTTTCTGCTTATGAACCAGCTGATTTATATTAAAATTTCTCTTTGCAGATAGATATAGGCTGTGTGTAGCCTTTTTTGTTCACTGTAAGTACTGTTAATATGTCTCTCACCTGCTGTCTGGCTCCTCATTCTTCAAAGTCTCAGTGGTTTCCTGCTTCTCAGCTTTTGGGTCAGAAATTGGGTCCATTGGAACATAAACGTCCTGCTTTATAACCATGTTTAAATCCTCTGTTGCATGTTCGCCCCTTTTCGCCTTGCACGGTTTAACCCGCTCATCTGACAGATCAGTGAGGCAGCTGGCAGGTGCTGAGGTCAAAGGTGAGGCTCTGCAGGGTGTAGCGGGAAGCGGCCGAGCCAAAACGGGCTGAGGCTTCTCCGTGCTGTTAAAGCTCAGTGTGGACAGAGCACTAAGGAGGGGGGAGTCTCGAACATGTTCCTCTGCCTTCAAACTCATCTCCTCTTTGCCCATTGCAGCCTTCAGGCCCTTAAAGCTACTCTTCTTCTCGCTGCGGGGAACAGTCCCAACATGGGTGTACATGTCGCTGGAGCGGGCATAACTGGAGTTGCGGAGACCCGAATCCATGTCGTCGACTGACTGCTTCTCTTCCTCCACTGCTGCTGCTGCTTGTTTGGCTCCACAGAGACTCTTGTTCAGCTGAGAAGCTGCTTTGTTGTTGCTCTTCTCTGATGAGCGGCGGGAGGAGAGGTTGGTGAGGCTCCCGAACCATTTAAAACCTGCAGAGGAGGACGCAGCTCATTAGGCTTCAAAGGAACATCCTTTTTATGAACATTTCTCTGCTGTCACACACCAGAGGCTCATTCTTTCACTTTTTATGGTCATTAAACTTTAGCTTTTAGGAAGGAAACTGCTGGAAAACTTTATATATTGGCTAAAAATGTTCAGTTAAATATCTCAGCCTTTAGTTATGGAGAAGTTTTCATGGACTAGTGAATAAGATGCTTTATACAAAGCACAAGGCAGTTCAAACCAAATATTATCTAAGAAACAATCATAATGATGATGAAAGTAAAATAAAACAGAGGTAGACATTGACTTTAAGGTCTGATAAGTAAGCTTAACAAAGTAATTAATTGGAATTAGTACATGAAATTTACACCAAAACATTTCAGCCTGTTACCCAAAAATTAAGACGCAACAGACTAGTGACCCAAGTTCACTTTTAAAGACATCACTATATTTTGCTAGACAAATAGTCCAGTGATAATGTTAATTTTTAAATAGATGTATTCTTTAAATCATTTTCTACCATTGCATTCATCAATTAAAATTTGTATTTAATCAATGATGCTTTTAATTGTTCCAATGTTCCTTTCAAACCGTATTTTTGAGTCATGTTTTAGATAAAAACATAAAAACATAAATGTGATGATTTATTAATTTCAGGATATAACTCCCCCCCCCCACCCCCACCCCCCCCCCCCACCCCCACACACACACACACACACACACACTCTACAGTCAGGGCAAAATAATGAAGTAAGTTCGGCTTAATTATTTTATAAAAAGTTGAATATTAGTATTTTTACCTCTGCAGCTTGTTGACATTACTATTTATGTAAGTGTTATACTTTATAGAATCTATCTCTTTATTAACATTATTATTATGGTCGATTTGATTCCAGATTGCTCCTAACCCCTAAATGTGTTCTTAATCAAGGTACCTAACCCTAAGATGTCTGTATCAGCGTATGAAGGTCTTTGTGTTACTGTTATATAAATTTAGCCTAGTTACCGTTTAAACACAGGCTTGTTAACATGTATAAAGGTCACTGTGAGATTTCACTTCTGACATGTTTTTCTATTCACTCTGATGAATAAATAAATAAAATCAATGTAAAAACAAACCAAAGCCCAATTAATTTTAAGTTGCTTTAGGGTTAGTTTAGGGAATAAACTATAATGATCATTACCAGTGACTAAAAGCCAGATGTTCTCTTTGGATCCATGGGCGAGGCCTTCACTTCCTCATACTAAGCAGACTATTTTCAGAAAACGAACTGGATCTAAAACCATAAATGATCCTGAAGAGCATCTTTGAAGGAATTCTATAATGTCAGATTTTAATGTTTTTTAACATAGTTTGATTTATTTGGATAATATAAGATAGGTTTGCTCAAAAGGTGATAGTTGGTGAGGAAACCTTGCCTTTTTTGCTAAATAAGTCGTAGTTTCTAAACATTTCGCTCCCATTCGGAGAGCAGCAGCCAAGGACTGATTGAGTCAGATAACCTTCTGCTGTTCAACAAACCTTTAACATCTTAAAGACTTTAAAACCTCATATAACTCCAGACCTTCAGTCTGTTTCCTGTCAAACTTCCGCATGATTCTCTTTAAAAATGGAGGATCGATGTGCAGCAATCTAAGAAAAAAACATTTAATACACAATTAACATTTTAATGTAACAATGGTGTTCACAGAGAGGAAATGAACTACTAATTTATCATGAATGTAAAGATGACATGGCCCTGATATGTTGACATTTCCTCTATTTTACTTTCCCTGAACCAGCTTTTCTGTTGGTCCACTGCTAAGGTCAGTTAGAGTCAGGTGATTCAAAACTTTTTAACTGGATCCAGATCATTAACCTCCAGTATTTTTGATTTTATGTTGTAAGAAAAAAAAACATCTGAGGATTGTTTATCCAGGAAAAAAAAACTTTCAACAGAACCAGTTTAGGCTCTGAGAACACTGCCAGATATTTATCAGCTCTTTTCTGGTATCAGACGTCACTACAGAAACACGCTTTATTAATTCATAACAGCAGCTTTGCTTTGTTGCTCCATTGGTTTAAATACGACATGTCTGAAAAGCGATGGACTAAGTTACGTTCAGCAGAAGTGTTTTCCTCTGAAACACTGATGTGTTTGGAAAGGTGTGACGGTGAAATGGAAAGCTGGGAAGTGTTATCTGAACAGAGCTTGAATTGGTTACCTTATAAAAATAATGAGTCATCATAAAATTGTTAAGAACTATTAACAATCCCTGATTTTACTGCTGGGGAATGTACTTATGTTTCTCAATCCCTTAAATGGGTGGAAGGAGCTTACCGCCTGTAAAGCAGTTATATAACATTTACTCACTCTGTTTGGATGATTGAATGCATTTGCATTGTTTTCATTTAGTAAATAAACAAGAAAAGAATAAAAACAGCTCTCCGATGTGTTTGGAAAGGCAGATATTTCAACTTATCAAATCAAAAACACACATATCTATGCGACAAAACAACATATTTTAACATGTTGCCTTAATTTTTACTAATCAACAGGAAAATATATTAACTTTCAATAAAAAAAAAAACATGTGTTAAGCATGAGATAATTTGTTTTGTTTTTTATTTAATACATTTTTGTTAAATTCGTCCATAAATAGATGACTTCCCCAGCGGTTCTGTGAAAGTAAAATATCTGATTCTCTGTTTCAGGTTGAAAACATTATTCCTCCTGAATTCAAGGTTCAACAATGCTTTGTGAACATGCGCTATGTTCTTCATAGGCATTCAATGTTAAATATTAACAATGCAAATGCATGATATATATGTGCAAACAAATCTACTATTTACGCTGCATGTTTATGTACACCATCTTAATTTAGAATAGAAGAACTTTGACATGTGCAGGTTTTCAAATTTCCCTTAAATAACAGCAAATGGGTTTGAGTTTTAAAAAGGAAAAAGAAAGCAACAAAAAAAGAGAACTCATAAGTGTTTTGGTTCTGGGTTTTTTGAGCACCCAGAATAGCGACATGTTCTGAAAGCAGCTGAGGCGTTACTGCTTATCAATTTGAAGCTGATGGTTCAATGACTCTTGCTGATGCTGTTCCCCCATTAAAACATCAGATAACTCAGTTTGGATCAAGGATTAGCGTCACTCACCCCTCATAGCACATTATATGATACATTTTATTGTTATTTTCTTTATTACAAATACCTGTGTCCATTTAAAAACATGCCTAATGATTATGAAAGAGGACATATTAGAGCATGAAATAAAAAAATCAGGCCTGATAACCACGATACTGCATCTGACAATTATGACTTTAAGAACCTTGTAAAAAGCCTCAGGAGCTGAAAGATAGATCAGCCTTTAGTTCATTTATGGTAAGTTTTATATTTTTTAGGAATCAGAAAAGACCCAGATGATTGGAATTAAATACAGTTCTCGGCTTTGTTCATTACTGGTTGACAACATACTGTTATATCTGTGTCAAAGGGGGCTACACGGTGTAGCAGTTTGTAGCCCTGATGCTTTGCAGCAAAAAGGGACCTGAGTTTGATTGTCCTGAGCTATCTCTATAGTTATGCTGCTATAGGCTTAGACTGCTGGAGGACATAGGGACCACTTTTTTTTCCATCATTCTGCCTCATTCTATCTCTATTCTCCCATTCTGCAGAATCTGTTAGTTCAATGTCTAACAATTTGCTCTCTCTGCTTTTTCTCATAGTAGCTTCGCCTCGTCTGTTCCTGTTTGGCTGTGACTCCATCCTGGAGAGAAACATCTGCTGTGCTGCTGCCATCAACACCTTTGTTGTTCGAGATCGGCCTGTTTTTCAGAGTAGTCCTGTTTCTCTGACTGTAACTGGCTGATGTGTTCTCTTGTCAGCTCCTCTGACATGGGAGCTGGCTTGGAGCTTGTATGCCTGGCAGTGTGTTTCCTGGACGGTTCCACCTGTGGAGCTGGTTTACAGTTGCCTTTTGAATCTCTGCTTCTTTTTATATGTCTGTTTCTGTCTCCTTGAACCCCAGTCAGTCTCGGCAGATGGCTTCTCACTCTGAGCCTGGTTCTGCTGGAGGTTTCTTCGTGTTAAAAGGGAGTTTTTCCTCTCCACTGTCGCTACAAGCATGCTTAGTGTGAGGGATTGCAATCAACTGGTTTTCCTAAGATAGAAAACTTTAAAGTAATATAACTGTATGATCTGGTGAACTGTAAAGTGCCTTGAGATGACATGTGTTGTGAATTGGCGCTATAGAAATAAACTGAACTTAATCTAATTGAGTTTGATTCCTGACTTAGGGTATTTTTGCATGGAGTTTGCATGCTCTGTGTGTGCATACATGGGTTCTCCCCTGGGTACTCCAGCTTTCTCACACAGTCCAAAAACATGACTGTGAAATAAATTCCCTAAGTTGCCATTTGAGGTGTGTGTGCAGGTTGTGAGTTTCTATGCTGCTCTGTAATAGATTGGCCCTATCCATGGTATCTTCACACCCATAGATTGCTGGAGTCATAGGCATCATTCATTTCTGATGGTTAAGCAAAGTAAGATGCATTCTTGGTTCAAGGTTGGACCATCTAACTCATCGGTCTCAAACTCTAGTCCTTGAAGAAAAGTTTCCTGCAACATTTAGAAGCTTCTGACTTCAAAATGAGCCCTTTAGCTGAATTGCTACGTTTGAGTTAGTTTTATAAATTAGATCCAGGTATGAAGGACAAGGAACAAATCTAAATGCCACAGGATACTGGAACCTTAGGATCTGAGTTAAAGAAAACTGATTAAGCTACCATAAAAATATTTCTTTGCACAAACAGCCTGATACTGAAGGTAAATGGTTGATTTAACTGCCAGATTAAATCTCTAAAGACCCTCAAACATCATTTCAGCTCCAATTAGTAAGGTGAAGTAGATAACAGACAAGATAAACAATTTCCAGCTGCAACATGACTATAATTCAGCTTATGATTGGAATGAGAAAGACACAGGGAGGTGTTGTCCCTTCCTGCAGACATGTACTGTCCCCTCTCTGCTCAGCCGAGGCCCCGTCCTTTCTGGCCGCACAAAGAGGACCCTGTGTTTATTTTACATCGGTCCGAGAAGAGGTTTGTTAGTGGAACAGTGGACAAAGAAAATGAAGATCCACCCAGACAAGTGTCAATTCATCACATGTTGCCAGGAGCTTACACAACGCTCACATCAGCATCGTCTCTCCAGCTTTCAGCGTTTTTAATCAGATGGATCATTTTAAGAAATGTTGAAGTCAAAACAGGGCAATCTGTTTTTTGCAGATTCATCGGAAGTTTCAGTATCTGTTAAAAAGGGAACTTAAACTTAATTGATTATTCAAGGCTTATTTGAAAAAACTGTTGACTCATAACAGAAGTGGTAAAACATTGAGGTTTTATATCACCACTCTATATAAAAGTGAAATACCCAAGTGTGTACAGTAGGTGGTACTTTCTCTCCAACTTCCAGAGGCTAATTTTATTTTTACTGAATTATATATACTTTATTCCAGATAACCAATAAAATAAATATTTAGGGAGACACCTTTTAATATTTAATTAATTAAAAATGTACCTGTTAGTGTATAATCCTGAAAGATCAACCAGCGGGGATTGAACCACCACCGTTTAGCAATGACTTAACAAATAGTTGACGTTAAATCCCAGAAAACCATTTCAAAGAGCAGGATGATATAAAAGTTCAAAAGATAACATTGTCTATATTGTTCTGCTTGTATAACCCAACCAATACCGCAAAGGCCACCAAAAGTCATGCAATAATAACCTTAATTTGCACTGTATTTAACTGGAAATAAATATGGCTCTATCTGAAAGATCTTTTAATCTGTATTGGTAACTTTAACCCGAGCTAATAGCTTCTTACCTGCAAGGAATCATTATCATTTGTAATGCTAAGGGAGATGTAAGCATGTAAAGGACATAAGGAGGTAGAGTTACAAAAAAAGTGGATAATATCTTATTTTAGTCCTTAGGTGTGGCAGATGTGCCTTGGATATCAACCATGAGGATTTATCAATTGATTATTTAGGCTTTTAAGTATATAATTAGCGCTACGGTCTATATTCTTTTATGTATTTGTTTTAAGTTGTATTTTCCTCAGGGATTTGATTATTCATTATTATATAGTAATTATTTCTTAACACAGAATGTTTCAAAAAGGTCTTATTAATCTTATTAGTCTTATTTTCCTCTTTCATTTTCTAAACTTCATTGTGAGTGAAGCAGAACTTTATTGAGTGACAAAAAACTGAATTTCAATGATGACAGGACTTTTTTTTCCAAAAGCTTCCCAGCTAAATAAGATAAAATAAAAGCAAAAATTGAGCCCTTACCCTTTTTTCTTTTGCTCATGGCTGTAAGGTTGAAGACACGTTTAAATATCAGGTCACGAATGTGGCGACTTCCACTTGTTCCTGCCGTTTGACAGTGAGCCTCATGCTCTTTAATCAACAGACTAAATCTGCTTCCTGTCTTCTGAACACAGCGGAAATGTTCGAGGGGGGTGAATTTTATAGTGAGTTTCACATAATGTTGCAACTATTAGGGAAAAGTTGCTCAACTCCCATTGAGTAGGTGTTTTTTTGTGTATTTTATTCTATTTTGGTGACAACACCCAACAACAAACTCCAATGAATCCACCTTTGAATGACAACAAGAAAAAAGAACCAATTGAAGGTTTTTGAGGGGCTTAGTTAAAGTCTGAGTAAGATGTTTGGGCTGCTGAGGCTGGAGGTACTGCATGGGGGTCGTGAAAGTTTTGCATGATTGGAGGGTTTTTTTATATTCCCCCCTGCAATTTTTTCCACTAATTGAAATGTCTTTAAATCCACATTAACATGAATTCAACACACTGTAGTAAACAGATAAATGGAGGCAGAAGATGTCTTTCAGTCATCAATGCACACATTCAGCAACACACAGGAGCTCTTTCAAGCTGGGCACCGTTTCATTCACAACACCTGACCCATCAACCAGGAATCAGAATCAGAAATACTTTAATAATCCCATTACTTTATCTGTATTAAAGTGACTATAGGACCAGTTTAATATAACACAATTACATACGATATATATAATTAGGGGGTTCCCGCTCCATCTCACCATCATTATGTGTATCCTTGGCCTGGAAAACGTGGAAGACCCCTGGTCTAATGACTGAATTACAACATTTCTGTAAAGCAGAAATTCACCCACAGTAATATCAGGCCCCCATTGCTGACTATCACAAACACTTGATCCTGCCAAGGTTTAAGGAGGGGATTACTTCTTCAAATAGGAATTGATGTCTGTCTATAATAAATACCTTTTCATATACTTTTCTGACATTAAACTCTTATGAGTTTAAAATTGAAATCAGAAATCTTTAATTGTGTCAATGAAGAAAAAAAAATTTGAATTGGCAATTTCTCCAAATGTTTTAACGAATGGATCACGTTTGACTCATTTTACGACCCCCCCCCCCCCTCCAAATAGTTGAAAGACAAAGGGGCTTCCAGGTGACGTCCCAACAGTGGTGAAACTTCCTTTTTCTTTACTTCTTCTAAAAATGTTGACACCTTTTCTCTGCTTATGCAATGGAGCTTTCAGACACAAGTCCAAGAAAAACTAAAAGACGCATTTTAATTCAAATCATCAAAGGTTTTAACGAGTGCAAAACCAGCTCCTGTTTTCTGGAAACGGACATGAATCAGGTCCGCAGTAATTAGGTTATAGGTTTCTTTCTTGCCTATTTTGTCTCTGGAACAAGTTTATAGCAACTCAAAAACAAACAGACAGGATTGATTTGTTTCTTTAAGGGATTCGTCAGATTCATTTTTGTATCAGTAATATATTCATATTAACACAGTTGATAAAAAATACTCTTAGAAAAGCTTATTGCAGACATGGCATGAAAAAATAGAGTTTAGATCATTTAAAACAAGCAATGAATAGAGAACAGAATCCCTTTGCAGGCACAGTTGGTCTTTCACTGATTTTTGAGACAAACAGACAAATATCGTCCACATAAAAATCTCACTGTAACATTTCACACTGACTGGTTTGTTGCTGGTTTTCTTCTCTAGAACTGGGTTTGTTCTACACTGGCAGCGCTGACTCAGTCTCTATGTGCAACAATCTACAGCTGTAATGCCCCACATAGTAGGATTTTAAGGAGAAAACTGAAGGCTTCATCAAATCCACCCTGTTACTGACGTGTTGCACAAACTGAGTAGTTTCCTGTCAGGAAATGTTTCAGCTTAAAAAAGGGTCAATGTGTCAACGCAGGATGACACAACTTATAGAACATACTGACAGTGCCAGGCTACAGCATGAATAGCGCTCTTAATGTGGGTATAAAACACAGCAATGCTCATGAGAAAACTTTAATTTTTGCATGAAGTTGGATTAATTCTTTACTTCAGTGCATATAAATAAAATACAGGGCAATCAATTGGCTCCAGGATTAACCTAGTTAGTTTATAAGCTCCGCCTGTTGATACATTTATTGCAGAGAATTAAACATTTGAAAATAACAGACAGAGGAAAATACAAATTAGTGTTGCACCGATATGGATACCAGTATCTGGCGGGGCCCCGATCCAGCACTAAAATGGTGGTATGGTATCGGTACCAACAAATAGGGCACCGATACCATTTTGAGATGCCTACCTGGAATGTCACCCATTCCAGGTAGGCAATAAAAAGTTCTACTGGATTCACTTTGTATTGGTCTTCTTCCTACTTCACAAAGGTAGGCAGCAGCTTGACAAAGCCATGATGGCAATTATTTTACATCCAAGTAGTATGCAGTTCTTCATTTATACACACACACACACACACACACACATCAATTTCAAACAGAGGGTATCGGTATGGTGTCGGTATCTACTGATACTGCACAGCCAGGTATCGGGCCCAAAAATGTCATCGGTGCAACACCATTAAAAATATAAACATGCTAGGATTTGAGATAATGTTTTAACCCTCATGTAAAATAGAAATATCCTTCGTTGTCTCACAATGCGGGAATTCATGAAAAGACAAGTGAGAAAAACATGATCAGAACAAAGATGTGTGCAGGAGATGCAGTGGTTAGTGCGCACAACCCATGTATGGAGGCCTTAGTCCTTGACGCGGCCGACCAGGTTTTGAATTCGACCTGTGGTCCTTTGCCGCATGTCTCTCTCCCTCTCTCATTCCCCCTTTCCTGTCAACCTACTGTCAGAAAAGTGAGCCACTAGTGCCGTAAAATTCAAGGTTAATGTAGTAGACTGTACAACAAATAAAAAAAATAAACACACCTCTCAGATAAAGGAAGCACTGCACAGATATGTCGCATGCTTAAAAAAAAAATTAGACAGAGCAGGGAGACACTTTAGTTAAGAATAAGGTGAGAGAAAAAATTAATAGATGAGCTTAATTTTATAAACCTGTTGACTCTGATTGAAAGAAATAAACCTGTTACAGGCCACACCTGTTCTATAGGGTCGGCTTCAGCGCCTCAGACTGGAAGAAGGTGAGGAGAGTGATGAGAACAGCAGAGAGGATCATCGGGGCTCCTCTTCCCTCCATAAAAAGACATTTCATCCCAGCGCTGTATGTGCTGAGCCTGTAACATCATAAATGACCCCTCACACTCCCACCATGGACTGTTCTCCCAGCTGCCCTCTGGGAAGGGGCTTCGAAGCATCCGATGCAGGTCCAGCAGATTCTGAAACAGCTTTTTCCCCACTGCTGAACTTTTGAAAACACCCTAAATCCTGTCACAGACTTTCACCATATATTTAATGCTCTGAACTTCCATATCAATGCATTTTTTTGGCACCATGCTTTTATTTCTCCCAAATTGTTTACATTTGATCACTGCTTCACCTCATGGAATGGAACTGTCATGAGAGCTGTACAAAATGAAATTTTGAAGCCTATATACTCCCCATTTACAGAGTCTAACCCAAAACATAAATCTGATTGTGATTATTTTCACAGGAATTTTTCCTCAATGTTCACCGATAATCTCCATTTAATCTGACTGAGCTGGAGCTATTAGAAAAATAGGCTGAAACTTCAGTCTCTAGTGGTAAAAAGCATATAGAATCAGACACATGTAGAGCTGCAGCCATTAATCCATCCATTCATTGAGGTCACAAGGGATGCTGGTGCCTATCTCCAGCTGTCTGTAGGCGAGAGGCAGGGTACACCCTGGACAGGTTGCCAGACCATCACAGAGACAAATAGGACAAACAACAATTCACACACACACCTAAGGAGAATTTAGAAAAGCCAATTAACCTAACAGTAATGTTTTTGGACTGTAGGGGGAAGCTGGAGTACCCGGAGAGAACCCATGCATGCTCCCGGAGAACATGCAAACTCCATGCAGAAAGACCCCGGGCCAGGAATCAAACCCGGAACCTTCTTCCTGCAAGGAAGCAGTGCTACCCACTGTGCCACTGAGCAGCCCTGGAAGCTGTTAATAACATCTTAAAACACTTTGTTCACCTTCCAGCTGCTGAGGTCAATCTATCCTTAATTGTTTAGTCAAAACTTGACTTTTATATCGCAAAGGAAGAAGACATACAGCTCTCATTTTTTACTATTCAATGCTTGTCAGACATTCCTGTTTTAGCCGCTAGATGGCAGCAAAAGCACGGTTAAACAGAACAGTGAAGAATCACATCACTCAATCAGTGTCCAAAGGGAATGGCATGTAGGAGAATCTGACCACTGCAGTTTTATAAAGATTTACAAAAATCTGCAGAATATAAAAGCATGCCTTCAAACCACACTGAAAAATAAATACTATTACATTTCAGTGAATAAGAAACAAACTGTCCTTCAAGTTAGATTAAAGTGGAAAGAAATACTTTAGACTTAGACATTATTGTCAATGTTTATAAACAGAGATTATACAAAACGAAATTTTGTTTTGAACAGCTTTAAGATAGTGAATGAGCAGCAGCTTAGCAGTGATATAACCATTTCCATCCTATTAAGTGCAGCAGTGATCAAATGTAAACATGTTTATGGTGCAAATATACAGTATTTTGGTTTGGTGTTATCAGTATGATGCAGAGTCTGTGACATGATTTACAGTTTTTTCAACTGTTCAACAGTCTGATGGCGGTGGGGAAGAAGCTGTTGCAGAATCTGCTGCACCTGCAGCAGACGCTGCGAAGCCTCTTCCCAGAGGGCAGGGAGGCCCTGCTCAAGAGTGAACTGATGCAAGCTTGCCTACTACAGTAAGCTTTTTAAGGTTCTAGACAGGAGCCAACAATGGCCAGTGCCCCTGCAGAACAGCTGACATATACTGCAAAAATCAATATTTCTTAAATCAAGTGATTCTCCCCGTAACTGGAGCAGGTAGGTAAGATAATGTTTAATATAAGAAAAAAACAACACTCTTATTGTCTTTAAGTGCATAATATCTAATTATATTATTTAGGAGAAAAATACTCATCCTTTTTGGCAG